CGKCCATGTTGGTGCCATTTAACAAACGATTTCTCATTCTCATTGTTAACGGTACCACAATGGCCGCCATGTTTTTGTCTTTTTGACTCTCTTGGGAATTCTTGCAATCCATCAATACTGCCTTTTCTCTCACAGATTCATTATAACTGCAACGTAAGCTCCACACAACCTCAAGTGGTGGCATTCCTCTATCTGTGTTCATAGTTATTTGAGTGTAATCATGTGCGCATGGTTATCCTGCCTCGACTGAACCTCTAAAAACCGACCATAGTTATTTCAGTGTAATGATGTGCGTATGGTTATCATGCACCGACTGAACCTCTAAAAACCGACCATAGTTATTTGAGTGTAATGATGTGCGCATGGTTATCTTGCACCGACTGAACCTCTAAAAACCGACCATAGTTATTTGAGTGTAATGATGTGCGTATGGTTATCATGCACCGACTGAACCTCTAAAAACCGAACACGAGGTTTAGTCTAGTCTCAGAACCTCTCGAAAGCGGACGCTGTTAGTGGTTGTTAAAGAGGTCTTATCTGGTCTGAATATATAATTATCTTAAAAGTGTACACAGTTTATAGTGGTCGTTATGGCGAAATCTGGTGTAAATATACAATAAACCTCTCCAAAGCGAACGCTGTAAGTGGTCGTTATCACAAGAGGTTTCGTTTAAATATATAATTCTCTCAAAGTGCGCAGAGTTTATAGTGGTCGTTTTCAAGAGGTGTGGTGTAAATATATGATAAACCTCTCGAAAGCGTACGCTGTTGGTGGTCGCTATCAAGAGGTSTCGTTTAAATATATAGTTATTTTAGGACACCGTTGATGGTCGTTAATTAGAGGTCTAGTKTTTCACCTAGCACTCGGGTGAAGCGTATGGACAGTGCAAACTTACTGAACCTCTCTAAACCGAACACCATGCATGTTCATTGGTCGTAGAGATCTAGGTTTTCAGCTAATACTTCAATGTTCAGTAGAAAGCGGGCACCTTTTGGTCTTCAACAAAAGGTCTCGTTTCTCATGCAAAATTACTACTCCTCTTAAAAGCGGAGAGCACGTTGCCATTCGGGTTAATTTCGGATTTTCTCGGAGATTGCTCGCGGAACTTTTTACATTGGACAGAAGTCTATTCACGCGTCTCCCATACTAAAATTCGATAATCCAGTAATGAACGTCTCTCGGCAATCATTTTTTAAGAGTAATATTTTCTCATACACCGCTGTGATCTATTTTTGGTCAAAAAAATGGGGTTTCAATTCATGTCAGCATGTCGGGAGGGTGTTTAGTTGACCCTTATTGGAAACCAATGATCCATGCATTATACACCAAAAGAAATTTCATTAGAAAAATCAATTAACGCTGTCAAGTCCTTAGGGGTTATTTCTCTTAAGAGAATCATTTCCTTAGCATTTATTCTCTTCGTAATTAACGGGCTGTTGTTTATATGCTTAAGAAACATCAAATGGGTCAATTCTCTTTTGAAATCTATAGAATAAGAATCTGTAGTGCAAATAATAAGATCGTAGCCCYAACGTTGGAGAGAAATGGGGCCCAGAATACCCCTCTAAACGAAGATATTGGAAAACAGAGTTGAAATTCGGCGTTGTGCTTTTGTTGATAAATTCATATGCAAATACTAATTCCTCGCTGACTAATCACGACACAAATTAGACAAATCCTAATATTTTTTCTGCATTTTTATTCGTTCTTTCTACACAAATACCTCTTTCGTATATTTTTTGAAATTTTGGCTCTCGTTTGTCGTGTTCTAGTCTTACACCTTTTCACCAGATTGGTATATAATTCGTGTAAAAATGCGCTTTGTAGTCTCATGCTAGGCTAGTGATTAAGAAGCCTACTCTGATTGGCCCACATAGGGCGATACTTTTCAAAATATAACCCATGGAGTTGAAGCTCCACGTGTAATATATTTGACACAATTTCTTTTAAAGCAACCTTTTAAAGTTGCTATCCCATAAAACTAAACCAACTTTCAATTATTTAACTTTCAAATTATCTAACTGACAATTGGTTGGAATAATTTGGCATATTTAGTGTGATTACAAACTCTTCTAGCATTTGTTGAAAATGTTATAACGTATTTTAATATTTTATCAAATTCTTGATAAGTGTTTTGAGAATTTTGTCTCATTCAACTTTGTTTAGTTCTACCTTGTTGTAAAATCCGTTCACTTCTTGTTTAACCATAAATATTGTATAACCTATTTATGCCTCTAGACTTAAAGGAATTTGAAAACATACAATTCATTGTCCGGTCGATGTGCTGTTTTAAAATTCTGCTCAAGTGATAGGAACTTAATTTTTTCAAAAACACAAGTGTTCTGTTGAGACAGGCAATTTTATTAAGTAAGTCTAATTAAAAATGTCATATTAACAAGGTATTATCAAATACGACAAAATCACTTAAATGTTACGTTGGGGGAGTGCTCTCACCTGTCAATATTAGAACATTGACAATGGCTTTTTCTCTAGCACCAGATTGAATCGCGCGCTCTTTTCACCAAGCGCGCTCGTCTGTTCTTCGCCAAGGATTCGAAGTCTYTTTTTTTCCCCAACCGGTGCACTCTACCTTGTCTGTTTGTATTCTACTGTTGATGTTAAGGCCAGAAACAAAGCATATTGGGTAGTATACTTGTGAGATATAAAAGATTGGACTTGTTGTTTTGTTTGGCTTCTTTCAAGTGCACTCGACATAATGGGACGCCAACTGTAATCTCATAGATTAACAAACAAAAAAACTCATTCGAGCAATCCTATAATGATGAACTCATCGTTCGTTGTTAAGGGCTTGTTAAAAACAAATATTCGTGTGCCTTTTTTTTTTTTACAATTGGCACCAACATTCTGAAAACYAACGCCTCAGAAAAGACCATCATTCTGGCTTTGATTTTTCGTGTAACGCATAAAGCTTGTATCTGCGCGTCGGGGCGCAAAACGTATATTTAAAATGCTTCCAGATTTCCACTCTGAGACTCGCCTCGTTTTTCCCTAAGCGAAGCTATGAAAGTTGTGCTTTTTTCATTTAGTAGTTGGTAAGCCTATTCGAACTAGCTACACGCATTAGTGAAAAATCTAAAATTTGATTGTAGTATTGTTATACTGATGTATAAGCACGAGAAGCTGCGAGCTAAAGTGATCTAAAAACTACTACTTCACTCGGAACTAGATTCTCACTTCGTATTGTGCAGGTTATTTTGACGGAATTTCTCGTTATTTTATGAGTTATTTTAGTTTCCTCCGTACTTTATAAGGTCATTTGCTGATTCCAATTAGTAATTTTGACAGATTTTCTTTCATTCCTGGGCATGAAGAGAGAGCAGTGCTCTATCTATTTACACGCACTGGGTACGTATATGACCGGATGTGAAGGCCACGGCACTACTGCCTCAGAATCCTTCAGACCTCGCTGAGTTTTTTAATCACCTACAGCACGAAACAGCCATGAATATACCTATTTAACTCTTGATTCCATTGATTAACAGCRTGAAGATTGTCTGATTGGGCTAATTGGAAAATTAATTTAAAAATATCTTGGAAGGATCTCATCGAAATCCCAAATAAATTACCCTTCAAAGTACTAAGGGYTTATACAGTCAAGAAAGCTGCCTGAAATTGCACGTTCTGCTCGAAAATGAGTAGCCAATTTAGGTACGATTTTAATTGGAAATCTTTTCCCCTCCTTCGAACTGTGCATTTCTTTTCGGGTTTTGTTTCGTATCTGGCTGTTTATCAAATGTTGAAGAGTCTTTTCCATTGTCTCAACTCTCATATCTTTAATGCCAAGCAAAACAAACTCCAGTTGAATAAAAGAAGGAACATACGAGTGGGAAGTTCAATAAAATCAATCGAAAACTTGATTCTTTTCTAGCACTATGCTTTGTGAGGGGTGCTATTCAAGTCTGAATCTGCAAGGGTCGAAAAACAACGAACTCCGTATTCTCAAAACTCCTCTCACCCCAGCCTTTATACCTTAAAAAGTACAATTTCAAATTCAATTAAACTATGGATACAAATAAGCTTGTTATTTTTACAYTCATATTTTTCTTTTGACTAGTTACATTAACAACATCACGTTCTTTAATTGAATTKAATATTATTTCAGCAACATATAGAATCGAATATAAAACTTTWAAAAATTATTCAATATATAATTCAATAGAAACGGAGATTTTACGTTTTCCCTCTGAAACTAGGATTTTTTTTACTGAATTTGGTCTAGTTTTGAGCTCGAGTGCTTAACTTGAGGCTTTTGAAAATGCGTTGCTATTTCGAGGTCAAACCAGCGCTGTCATTTATAAGCTTTTTCTCCTAAACTCAAAAAAGGAAAAAAAAAAGATCTTATAAGAAGCTCTTCTCAAATACAAAAAAAAAACTTCAAGTACCTTAAATAATTAAACACATCCTTAACAGTTTAACAAACTTAAACAACATAACTTAAAACACCACACCAAACTACCACAATACGAAAACAATCTGATTTGTGTTTATTCTTTTTTCTTTGAATGTTGAATTCTGTATTGGATGGTGTAAAATATATATAATATATACATCTTAGTCAATGTAATACTGTGGCAATATCAATAATAGGCCTAGATATGATAATAGTAATAATAATGATGTTGAATCAAGGCTAATTCATTTTCAGAGTCGTAAACAGATAACATCGTTCTGACAAGRCAGAGAAAATACAAACGTTAAACTAAATAGATAAAACTGTTTTTTCTGTCATAAATAAGTTATGGTATCCAAAATTGAATAATTCAAAGCTATTTCCTTCGRAAAAAATGCGTTATGGCTTCGCTACTTAACTTGGTGATGCCAAAGTTCTTGGAATTGCACAAATTGTAATAATTGCTTASCCAGAGCGCGTCTTTAAGTAGGAAATGCTTAGTTAAGCGATTCATTTTCTTTTCTTAAACGAAAAGGGAAATGAAGAAAGAAATATATTTTTTGGTAATCAAACAAGYTGAACAAAAGGTACTCTGCTATGCTCTTTTATTTAGAGATAATTTTATCCAAACGGACTTGRAAAATGCTTTTAACTCGTGCTCGAAGTTGAGTGGCACACACGTTTTTCGTTCTACTTCACTGCTACTAAAATCAAAATAAATTCAAGGAATGGTCGCTCKCGCCCTCGGTTAACTAAACTCCCTTAGTTCCAATGACAATGGCTGAACATTGTTGAAATATTGAACATGAAGGCTCCATTGAATTCGCTTTGAAAATCTTCACAAATGTYATGTATTTTGGGGACAACTCGCCTATTGTAATAGATCAAAAAGTTCTTGTAATCCAAAAAAGTAATGCTACGGCTTAGCGCACCTTATATCAAAACTTCACAATAGAATAGACATATCAAGGATTCGGAATTCAATAATCTAGACACAGAACTCGACTGGTTTCAGTGCGTCTATTTATTCATAGTGCTTACTCTTTCCTTATCTTCTCAAGGGTTTTAAGCTCGTTTCATCGTAATGTTGTAAACATTCGGACCGTTATGCGTCGCTCATGGCGAACCGCACTTATGAAACACGGTTAACCAACTCTTCGTGTTCTTTCACTCCGAGGTCAACTATCATACAATTCAGCAATTTGATTTCTGTTGTCGTAACGTAATAGAAGTAATTGATTTGCTTGTACTAATTGTATAGCACTTAGAAACCTACGATGAGAGAGGATATACAAATATATATGCCGTTAAGATCAAGGAAAACGAGAGAGAGAAAATTCTCTTGAGCTTTGTTTAAACCTCGAGTCTACCAGTCCGAGTCGAATAAAGCATCGATGCTATTTTCTACTGTTTTCGGATTCAATGAAATATTCTTACTTAGATGGAGCAAATTTAAACAGTGATTCTATCTTGTTGAGCATAAAGATTTTGGTTTCGAAGRAAGAATTTTTAGTTGTCTCCCGTCAGCGCTAAGATGAAAAAGTTGCTATTACGTACAAGTTTGCATCGGCCATATTGAAATATTTTCCTAATCAACAAGCTATTTACAGTAGTTATTATATCAATCAGGGCAATAAAACAGCCACTAAAGAGTCTTCAATATCTCCCACAGCTGGGCTTAGGAACGTCTACAGATACTAGTCATTTTAAGAGTAATAAATTTCATCTATGATATTTCTGAAGCCTCCATTGATGGACGTTTCTTGCCTGATTGCTTGTGAACTGAGTCTATCAGAATAATCATRGCTTTAAGGGATCTGCTTTAAGGCTAAACCTTTAGGCAAGATAAGTAAATTACATAAGCTGTCATAAGTCACTTCAAATATTGAATGGAAAACAAATGATCAACAGAGAGTTAAGCCTTCATAGAGACGTGAATGAAGATATCACTTGTCGAGAAGGATGTTAGGCACACAATCAATTACAAAAACTCAAAAGAAAGAKAAATAACTAGCTACCAGTATCAAAGCTGCAATCACATGTGTCGTTGAGTAAACAAGGCGGGATACGTTGGTGGAGAACTGTGATCTTGAGCTTGTTGTACATGAATGTTCTGAGAGCTAGAGAAAGCACTAGTGGTTGGTGGARAGTCGATGGGTCCTCCATAGAGATGTCCACCTTGCATAATTTCACTGCGAACAGGGTAAGCTAATTCATGGACGGCAGAGCTGTGAGGAGGTCCACCGCCGTAAGAGTGTGCCTGTCTTGGGGCATGCATTGACATATCGTATACTTGATAGTTGGGTTGTGGAACTTGAAAATATTGCTGGTAGACCGCTTCGGGAGACGGCATGGCATTTGGATAGCCCATCTTGAGTGCTGCATGTTGAGCGCCGTCAGGACTTGGATATGGGAATGGATACGGTGTTTTCTTCAGCATATTTTGTTTAGGTTTTCTTCTCCTAGGCTTGTATTTATATCCTGGGTTGTCTCTACTGTGTTGTGCTTGAAGTTCTTTGGCTTTCTGTATGTAAGGTTGTTTAGATTCCTCCTCCATCTGCTTCCACTGGGCGCCCAAAATTTTACTTATTTCAGAATTGTGCATTCTTGGATTTGCTTGAGATAGAGTCTTTCTTTTCTCTCTTGACCATACCATGAAAGCATTCATAGGTCTCTTAATGTGGTTAGCATCTTTGGTACTCATCTTCGGAACGAACCAACTTCAAACTTGTCTGCACAAACTACGTTCGCCTTCAATAGGGTCTCGACAAATGATTTGATTCCGAACAAGGACGAGGCTTTTCGTGTGTGAAGCTTGACAAAGCTATTTACATTTCTGGCGTTGCATGTGAACAATAGAGTTTTTAGAAATATTTAATTACCATAATCATTCCAAACATCAAAAGAACACARCACAATGAGAACGAACCTGTAACTTTATTTACCTGCATTAATAATCAGACCAAGACAAGTTAACAAGGCCCCAGAAGGGACAGACCTAAATTCACTTACATTAAAACCGCTATGTTTGATTTCATTTTTCATAAGAGATGGTTAACCAACGACGTTGCTCAATCAGTTTTTTCGAGTGCTTATGTGTAGCACGTTAGGCTACACTTTTATTGAAACACAGCTTGACCCCACTAGATTAATCATTCCAAAGTCGATAACGTGTTTGCTTTGATATTTACATCTAATTTAAGCGGATATCAGAGTAAATAAATTTGATTCTGAAGTAAAGAGACACGTTTGTTTAACTAACAAAAACTTCGACGAAATTTTTTGGCCGGTTTTTTTTTCGGTCGATGTCAAAGCCCGGCGTTGGTGTATGTTATTCTCTGTTTTCTTGCCAGCCAATTAATCCACAAAGCAAGATTCTGATTCATATTCAAAAATCAACGCAGCATTCATAAAAAGCGATGGTATTGTTATGGAGATCACTTCAATTATACCGATGTGGCCGCACAAGCTCTTGAGAAAAACTCTATCGAGCGCCCGTTGTCTTCCGGGTTTAMGTCCTTGAGATAAAAAGAAAAAAATCTTGTTGCTTTCTTTTATTTTACGGCAGCGCGCATAAACTATACTCTTGTGCTGTATTCAAAACTATTGAATTTGGACAAGAAGACGTGTCACGGTCGACTCGAACGGCTTGAAAAAGGACAGTCAAGGTTGACTTCTGCTCGTCATGCTAAGCGCGCAATAAGAATTCAGCTGTGAATGAMGAGGTAGGCCTCTGCTACCTACGGAGTTTTACCTTCACGTTTGTGAGTCACCTTGTAAAACAAGGTGGCTATCAGACGATTTTGGCGGGCTTCGGCTTTGCCGCGCGTCAGGTTTTCAGTGAAAAAAAGCGGGTTTTTGCATAACGCGCGGAATGCTGATCTAAGGAAGACCGCACAAATTAACTTGATCCTTTGTTTCACCGCGAAGCTTTGGCTTTTTTTTATGAACAACACTGGAGGGCATTATTCCGACCAATAAAGCGTGTGTAGCTTTATTTAGCTCGCCATTGTTGTTAGATACAAGCGAGTTCTTATGAAGAAGATCAAGAAATGGCGTAATGAGGTCCCTAGTGGCCTAACTCGTCATTTTGAACAAGAGCCAACAACCGCCTAATGACGTTTGAGTGTGAATAGAATAGGACAAATGCATTCCTTCCTAAAAACCCGGAACGCCTTCTTGTGAAGATCACATCGCATTTTTCCATGGTTCGTAAGAACAAAATGTTGATGGCTTTAGCATCATACMAGAGTATTAGCGAAACTATACTCTGACGTAAATCTGACTCTTGTTTGTAAATCTTTTGATTGTTTTCGCGAGATTTGTTATCCAACTTCGAGTAGGTTCCAAATGAATGACTAAATCAATTTAATTAGCAAAAATTTGGTCAAAACAGCTGGTAATATGTAAATATTTTTGGCTTGATTTTGAAGCGCTTTCTCGTTCTCAAACATCAACAAAAATAACGTTTTTAAGAATAAGATTTATCGACATTAAACAAGCTGGCTTTTTTCACGTTAGCTTGCCAAGAAGATGCAGAAATATATRTATTTTAAAGTWMCTTACAGAAAGTTTTCAAGACTAGSCTCTCGACAAAACGACTCATTATAGCCATTGGTTTAACAACCTTTACATATGAAAGTACTGAAAAATAAAGTCAAAATTTCTCAAATAAGAATTTTAGCTGTTGAATTCTTTATTCGTGTAACCCCAATTTTCCCATAGCAAAATTGTTCAAATTCTGGTTTCTGAGATTTTTGAAATTTAAAAATTGTATCCTTGTCGAAGAAAATGCGCCCTCGAATTCCATAGTATTTTTCGTTARTTAGATTACTAATTGGGTACAAAGATTATGAGGTTAAGGATAAATTACTTCAAACAATATTCTGAACAAAAAGTTAACATTTTACGCGTTGAAAAGATTCTTAACTGAGTTTTTATCTTTATTTTGTTGTATCACAATTCTGAGAAAAGAAAATTGATATAATACATGAAGTGTCTTTGTAAAGACAACGTATCTTATCTCACAATTGTGCTATTCTTTTTGATGTAAGTTTTTATTTCTTTGAGGCAATAAGATAACGTTTTGTTGTTAGTAGAATTATAATTGTCTGTAAAACGACGAGAACACAAGAAAAGTGAATTAAAAAAAATAGTTTTCTCTGGAATAATAGGGCTAATAAATGATTAGACAGTGATGTAAAGAAGAGATATATTTTGTTTTGATGTTGATAAAGAAATGATCGGATATTGGCTGGTTGCTAGGAGACATTTAACTAAACAACGAATGATACTTTATATACACACAGAATGAATTATCCAGGATAGGCCTTACGTATTGGGCTTCCTGTGTTAAGGGCATTACCACAGGAATCCCAAGAAATGGATGGTTTTCAACATCTTAACTAAAATACAATCCTAATTCTAAACTAAATCGAACTCTAATGGATTCAAAGTATTATATTCTTTGTAGAAAGACTTCAAATGATTCTCCTCTGCTTAACAGATTTCAATTTCAACAGATTTCAATGCTGGGAATACGAACGTCGACTCTCTTCGTGGGACTCATGATGAGACTTCCTGGCACGGATTAAATAACCGGCAGTTAATTTTTTGAAGATATTTTAGATTCGATATATTAAAGT